TTATTTTCTCATAATAATGAGAAACTTTCTCGAAATAATAACTTACTCTACGCATGCGCAACGCAAGAGTGACAGAACGCTAGCGACATCTGTTGGTCAAAGCCATGCAGGAACACCGCAAACATTGCTTTGTTCTGTAATCTAAAGTGTATATTCTATCATTTAATAACGATTTCAGATAGATTATCTGTATGTAGTCTTTTGTTAATTTGTAGCACTTACCAACAAGTTACTCTGCCAGACAATGATCATGGCTTCAGATATAGAAGAATATATTGCAACAAAAATCACACGCATTTTATGAAGAAATGAAAGCCATTACACATATAAACTTAATGAATAGACGTTCATTTCGATGATTTGTTAGTTTTATTAGCTGTCACTAATAATGATATACTAATAATTATGCATCACATGCATAAGCCCACAATACAGTAGCCCAATCTCATATCGCAAGCACAAAGCGTAGTTGTTCGTTACCACGGCAACTGCTTGGTCTTCAGCGCATAAATATGTATGCATATCTATGCTTCAGCGTCCCACACCGCTTCTTGCAGGACATGTGAAAGTGAAAAACGCTTAATGTGGCTTAAAGTACAATGACAAATTCGGGATACAATATTACTGATCATGCATACAGGGAAGCATATGAGCCCAGATTTTGAACACAACATCCAACGTTGCAGGTTAAGCGATTTATATGTGTAATGGCTTTCATTTCTTCATAAAATGCCTGGATTTTTAACTGAAATATTGGTCTGGAATGTTTGAAGCCATAACTATCTGGCAGAGTAACTATTACACAAAAGACTACATACAGATAATTTATCTGAAATCGTTATTTAATGACAGAATATAGCATTATACACTTCAGATTACAGAACAAAGCAATGTTTGCGGTGTTCCTGCATGGCTTTGACCAACAGACGTCGCTAGCGTGCTGTCACTCTTGCGTTACGCATGCCTCGAGTAAGTCTTTTTTTTTTTGTGGATTAGGCTAAGTCATTATTACGAGAAAGTTTCTCAATATAACGTGATACTAAGTCATAATTTTGAGAAAGTTTCTCATTATTATGACTTACAGAATTATATATTTTTTATTCAGTGGCGGAAACGGGCTTCCATAAGTTTTCATTGTTACGTGATTATTCAGAAATCATTCTAATATGCTGATTTCTTATTATTGTCAGTGTGGAAAACAGTTGTGCTTTAATATTTTTTGTGGAAATTATTTTTTTCAGGATGCTTTGATGAATGGAAAGTATATGATGAGTAGAATTTTTTGCAATATTATAAATGTCCTGTTTTGATCAATTCATGCTCGCTGAAATAATAATAATAATAATAATAATAATATATTTAAAAAAAAAATCTTACTGACTAAACCAAACTTTTAAATGGTAGTTTGTGTTTTGCTATTCCTGCATTGTCTCTACATTTGTTTTATTTATTTTTTATTTTTTTTATGAATTTAAATAGAATGATAACTGGGGCTGTGAAGCCATAAAAGTGGTCAATATGAATCATATCTTATATTTTATGGGCCCTGTATTCATTTTTGGGTGAACTACACTTTTAACTCTCTTCTTTGAACCTCTCTACTACCATTTAAACTCTTGTAGTGATAAGTGTGTTTGTGTGACATTTGATCTGATGACCATTAATGCACTGCAGATGTTACAGCTCTTGATAGCTTTTTTTTTTTGTATTTTTTGCCTTGGCTGGAAGATATAAAGAGTAAGATAGAGAGAGGAATGTGATCTTGAAACAAACCAGACTCAGATTTGTGTGGTCTTTGACTTAAGAAATGTGTAAAGAATAAATAAGCAGGGAACACATTTTTTTTAACATGGTCAAACTATGAACTGTTGACCTTTTTTATTTGCCAGTAGGATCTAAATTAGGAAGTTTTAAAAAATGCATCCCAATAGTTTCAGCAGATGAGAACACTGTCATTTTATGAGAGTGCATTTTTGTCTGGATTATAACATTTCTGGAAATGAAAGACATTAATTTTAGTGTACTATTTTGGTCTAGACACTCCATTTAATATGTCACTGTGCCACCTTTTATAATCATTATTATTATTATTATTATTAATAAACAATTCTACAGACCTCAACAGTAGGGAAAATAGGAAAAAAAAATAGAAAACTAGGGAAATAGAAAAAAAAGATTGTATTAATACCATATGAATCTTTCAGGACAGAATTGTTTTTTCAGATGAACTTACCCATACATATCTATGAACTTACCTGCCACAGCATGTTGGCTCACTTGGCTGCATTATTTTATTTTATTTTAATGGCAACTTTACTCATCATATTGCAAAGTACTATTTATTTATTTCTACAATGCCATTTATTTGATCAAAAATAAAATGTAAAAACTGTAATATTGTGAAAGGTTTTTTTTTTAAATACATTTTTAAATATAATTTATTCCTGTGTAGGCAAAGCTGAATTTACAGCAGCTATTACTCCAGTACCACATGATCTTTCAATAATAATGCATCCTTGCTAAAAGTATTAATTTCTTAAAGAAAAAAGAAAATAAATGGCATTTTGCACAGTGGCTCCTGAAGACATTGTATATCCTGCAGATAAATGTGTCATCATGTACTCACCCTCCTCTCCCACACCTTTTCCATGTGTGTTTTTCAGAATTCCGCTCGCCGTCTCACATTCGCGGGCTCAACCGATCAGCGTCTCTGAGCGACACTGATCGTCCTGAACCTCAGTCCGTCAGCGGCAGCAACACGCAGCTCAGCAGTGCTCCCTTGCCACAGTACACGCCAGACTTCAACGTCCGAGCTCTGGCGGACCTACAGTTTGTGAAGGTAAAGATATATTTTAGTGATGCACTGAAATATTCGGCCGAAAATTAATTTTCAGTATTTCGCGGGCAGGTGGGGATTATGCAAATGTGTTACCTTGTGTCGTATATAGGTAACAGGCAGAAGATTCGAAAATATGATGACCCGTTAAGGCGGTTCAGAGTCTACTCTTTCATTTGAGAGACAATATCTTTAGTTATCATGCACTTTTTTGATTATCAACTTGCAGACTGTTTACATTGAAGGATAGCTATGTTACAAACTGCAAAAAAGATATTTTTTCGAAAACCCATATGACCTGCTCCTTAAGAAATATGAAGTCCAGACTAGTCTGTATGGGCTGAATAAAGCAAACCAGTATCTCACCAATAAAGTTTAGATGGATGACAATTGTAATGGAGGTAAAGACGATTACAGTGGAATAAAGCAATTGTACGTTATTAGTTGAGTGCGAGTCCATTATTATTAATGTGCAAACAAACAGACCGTGTGTATGTGCGCTCTCTGATAGCTTTTTGCACAAGCACATTTCAGTATGGTCGCATGTTTGGCAAGTGTTTTATAATGGACACTCGCTGAAGAAGCATGTTATTATAGGAGTTTGCAATGGTCAGGGGTGTTTATGTAGACACTCAAACACAGACACGAACATTCACTCTGACAGCAGCGGTATTAACATTAAATGACATGGCATCTGATGTATGGAAGCCATTGGCACATGCCACTATGATCAGTGGCACATCGGTTTTTTTCAGTTTCTGTCAAGCATATTAATTACATGGCGGAGTTAATTTATTTAACAACTTAGGCTTCTTCATCGTTTATTATTTGTCTAATGTCCCTTTGTTTGCCTGAACGTTTTGTCAAATACTTTAATAAAAAAAAATTCATATTGTTATAAAATGGTTTCATTTCTTATTGTATAATTCTATAAAATAATTTTTGGAAACAATTAAAGCCAGATATGAGTGATTGTGCTGGCCAGTGTAATATTGATGCTGCTGCATGCACGCAGGTAGGTGTCCGTACCAAAATCAAAGTTTGCAGTAACTGATGCGACTGTAAATGCGGTATTCGTAGTTATGATAGATTAAAGGGGTCATATGATGTTGCTAAAAAGAACATTATTTTGAGTATTTGGTGTAATGAAATGTGTTTATGCGGTTTAAGGTTCAAAAAACACATTATTTTCCACATAATGTACATTATTGTTTCTCCTCTATGCTCCGCCTTTCTGAAACGCGTCGATTTTTACAAAGCTCATCGGTCTGAAAAGCGAAGTGGGCTCTGATTGGCCAGCTATCCAGTGCGTTGTGATTGGCCGAATACCTCAAGCGTGTGAAGGGATCTTATCTATTCACGAACAGCTTGTAACACTCCAAAGAGAAAGGAAAAATTGAAATTGCATCATATGACCCCTTTATTTCCGTGTGTTTCCTAGAATGGACAATTCGCAGTGGTCAGCAACACACAATAGTACTGGTATTACATAACATTCAGTGGCACATGCCACTCAAATAGCCTACAACATGTTTGGAAAGAAAAATACAGACTTGTAAATGCGCATAATTGACATTTATTTAGAAATCACTCAATTAGTCTATTTATTTAGGTTTTTCTGTCACAATTAGTATAGCTGTACATGTCACTCTTCTCTGACACGTCAGTGAAAACCGGAAGTGTCACCGGATGTGCCACTGAACATAGTGGCATGTGCCAATGGCCGTACGTCAGATGCTATGTCACTTAATGTTAATACATATAATATAACTACTATATAATAGGCAAAAAAACTGTATGTGAGGCGAGTACTAGTATGTCCTAATGCATAGTATTCGAAAAACAGTAGGTGAAAAGTATCCAGATGACCTACTACTTCCACCCGGATTCTTAAGTCCGCATTCGATTGACACTTTACTATCCCACGAGGCCACAGGAGATGATTTATGAATGGCAGTGAAGCAATGCAACTGACGCTGGTAAGTCATGTGACAGTAACAACATGGCGGATGTAGTACGTCCGAATTTCATTAGCTGTTTCTCATTATGCGTTCGTGTCTGTACTTGTGTTCTTGTGGAACGTCATCAGTCGTTGCTCAAGTACTGTTCCAGTTCAGAGTTCACATCTAGCCAAGCACAGTTCAAATCCCCGGATGTGTTCTTGCTCCACCGCTTTTTATCGAGGATGCATCAAGAGGTGACTTGTGCGAACTTGAGGCAGCCAGGTATCCCACAATGCATTTCGCACCAACCAGCGAGCGTTAATGGTGAAGGAGAAAACCTGCATAATTTTCAAAATACTACTGTTACTGTGTCATGAAATTATGTTTTAAGAGTTTTTTTTTTTCAGGCTCGTGCCATCGAACTGTTGTATAACAACAGCCCAATTGATTGCACTAGAAGCATAATTATATGTCACCCTGGACCACAAAACCAGTCTTAAGTCACTGGGGTATATTTTTAGCAATAGCCAAAAAAACATTGTATGGATCCAAATTATTGATTTTTCTTTTATGCCAAAAATCATTAGGATATTAAGTAAAGATCATGTTCCATGAAGATATTTTATAAATGTCCTACCATAAATATATCAAAACTTAATTTTTGATTAGTAATATGCATTGCTAAGAACTTCATTTGGACAAATTTAAAGGCGATTTTCTCAATATTTTGATATTTTTGCACCCTCAGATTCCAGATTTTCAAATAGTTGTATCTTGGCCAAATATTGTCCAATCCTAACAAACTATACATCAATGGAAAGCTTATTTATTCAGCTTCAATAAAAAAAAGACCCTTATGACTGGTTTTGTGGTCCAGGATCACATATTATTAAAAACTTCATATTGTACTTTAATTTTACTGTTGATTATTAAAGAAACTTAATTACTTAATTGATTATTAAACCTCTTTTTCATCTAAATGAAAACTTTTAATAATTTCAGTGCATCACAAATAAGATTTATTTTCTCATCCATCCAAAAATATTGAATAGCTCACATGATCAACGTTTCCATCTTTCTTTTTCCAGATCACACGCTCTCAGTATCAAAACGGTCTGATAGCGTCTCGGCTGGACAGCTCGCCACAGTCTCCAGACAGCGGACACGGCCGTGTAGATAACAGCATATCATCCGCTCCCCATCCGTCTTCAGAAAACATCATCTCGCTTGGAGACGCCACCGATGAGACGACCTCGCTCCTCAACGAACAGAACAGCCAGCCTGCGCGCCAAGCCAACCACAGCACACATAACGACAGTGCCATTTGACAAAGTTAAAAGTGCGGGTGTATGAAAAGCAACAGTTTCCTGAGACATCCAATGAAAACATTGTGTAACACATTGTGCAAGATGAAGACACAGAGAAGCCAAAGTGTATCTGGACTGAGAAAGGCCCCTGTTTCAGACAGACACACTGGGGCGTTTTATAGACTGTGTGAATAGAGACATTTATATATACAAAGATGTTTTTGTCATTTTTCTATTGAGGTTGATCACAGACATGTGAAGGAGGGAAACTGCGGATGCCTTTTTATTTTGTGTTAGTCCATAGCTAATTCATAATTGTACCAAATTTTATTTGTGTGTGTGTGTGAGTGAAGATTGGAATGAGTTTATGATAGAGATATACATGCCGGTGTGTGTGTTTGTACATATGACAATGCATGAGTCCGATTTGGCCGTTGCAGCCTAAGCAACAACTCAGGGAGACGCTGAGCTTCACATACTAACTGCATGTTCAGTAATTCCCCGTTCATTTACGTGAACCCATGCGACAAGTGATCAAAAAAAAAGTGAAGCATGCTGTCGTAAAATGCACCAAATACTAAGATACACATGGCATCCACTTGTCATTTTTGTCACATAATTCTGCTGGTTGTCTGTGGCAGTGTTCATGTGATTTAGTGTTTGTGTATGTGTAGAATTGTCCTTTTAAAATGAATGCATTGACTTTTTTTACTCCAAAGAGAACAAGCATTTGTCGTTGTAGTACGACTGTAAACGGAGTCACTTTTCTGCACAAAATGTTTGTGATTAGAGCTCTTGAACTGTATCTGTTGCTCCCATTGGACCAGAGGTAATCTAACCAAAAGAATTTAACTCTTTCAAGCTGTATTTATTTAGCCTAAAATTGAGGTTGTATATTTTTTAAAAATGATTTTATTTCTTTGTTTTTGTGACTTAAAATTGCTGTGCGTTTTCTAAGCAGGTTGACATGGTACAGACTACAAATTGTAGATGCCTAAAGCTAGGAAATGGCAGGTGACGTCAATGTTTTTTGCCTTTTTTTCCCACTGTGTATCTTTTGCTTTTATACCAAATATGTTTGAAACTGATAAGGACAATCAAAGTGAAAAGTGTCTCATAGACACATTGATAGGAAGATATCATCACATGCCTAGTCAAATATACACACAAAAGCCTCTTTTATTCTGTAGCATCTCTTGAATATTATAAAATGGGGAGCAAGAACTGTACTGTGTATTTCTATTTTTTGGCTGTTGACAGCTGTTCAGTTTTTAAGGAGACACTCCCTGCTCATTCAAACTGTTAATCGAATTATATCTTGTCCTTCTCAAATTGGTCATGAAATACATTAAAATTTAAAGGGAAAAAAAAAACGCTTTTTTTTCTTTAATGGAAACTGCTGATTTTTCTTTTAGGTGTAACAACTTCATTCTTTTTATACTGTATTTTTCCAAGTTATTTTGGGCTTTGGGAGAGGTCTTCTTTAAGATGATCTTAGTTTGGCTATTAAATTATTTATTTAATCAGTGTAATATGTTCCATATTCTTGTAATTATTGTCGGTGATGTATTTTGTAATAACCCTCAGATAGTGTAGGTGTATAAATGGACTAAAGAGAAGTAATCTCAATTTAATATGAATAATTTCCTGTACGTATGAATTAGATGCATATTAGAGAATGTAGTTTAACAATTCAGATGTTCTGAATTAAACCATTAGCAGATCTACTGACTAATATTGATGTTCACAGGAAATGTTTTACAGTTGCATTTATTTGTGCCAGATTACACCATTGTACCTGTTACACAATTTTTAGCTGGATGTTTGTGGGTTGAAAAACGTGACAGATGCAATGGAGTAATTAAAATTAATAATTTAGCTGACTCACAGTAACTGACACTTGAAAACAATGCATTTCCAGTGTCTTCTCTCCTGTCAGTAATTCCATCTGCTTAACAGGGAGATCAGGAGATCAGGGCCAGTTAGAAAATATTACAATAATGTATTTTGTAAATATATCTTATATCTCATCTGTAAGTCGCTTTGGATAAAAGCGTCTGCTAAATGACTAAATGTAAATGTAATATAAGAAACCTGTATGGTGAGGGCCAAAAATTTACAACGCTACATTCCCCCCTAATTTATTAAAATAATAATAATAATACATTTTAATTATAGTCATAATGTCTATTTCATTCTGTTATATTATAATCTTCATTAAAACTTACATTGAAATATTTTGTAAAACCGTTAACATGGTTAATGTCATAGATTGTCACTACATGTCTACATGTTCTTTTCTAACTTTATACTATTATTATTATTATTATTATGTAATATATAACGACCTCAAATACATAAAGCCACATAAAAGCGAAAGTACCGGAATGACATTTATAACGAATCATCAAATCATATGAAGCGTCCAAACTGACCAACCAATAGTTGGGCGTTACATTTTTGAACCAACCAATGGGAATTGAGATGGGCGTATCCCTGCAAAATTCAAGGGACAGTTGTGTGGAGAATGTGGATGATGCATTAGCAGGCAGCAGTATGTTCTAATAGACTCGTGTACGAAGTTATAAATAGATGCTATATTTATCTTAATTAAATATTTGATGTGGATGATCGGATAAAGCGATGGAAACAGTGACGGACGAAGACGTATCTAAACGATCTAAGATAGGTAAAGCGCTCCCTTATAAGTTTAACGTTACACCAGGCTAGTCCTATGTATCATGTACGCTGTTAACGTTAGATACTTAACGTACTGTTTCTATTGATTCAGGTGTGTTTATTTTTAGATTACAGTAAGTTGTGTTACGATTTTATTTTGGAAAATCATCTAACAATGATTTGAAAATCAGTTGTTCACAACACTGCAATGTGTTATGTGTGCGCGCGCCCATGAAAGAGGTGTTTTTGCTTCAAAAATTAATTATATTAAGTTAATGGTGGTGTCTCCTCATATTTCCCTCAGGAAAACAGCTTTATAAGGGTACAATAGTGTCAAACATATCACAGGTGCTGAAATAATGTCCCGTCTTGCCTTTACTAGTTCATTAAAAAAGTTATGCTAATGTGAAATGCTAGTGTTTAAAACAGTTGTAGATGGAGTATGGATGACTCTCAAACGTCAAGTACTGCGAAACCTTCTTTTCAGGACGCTTTAAAAGTATCCAAATGGCTCATGAAGAGACTTCTTCATTCACTTCCCTTCATTCAAATGGCAACGGTTCTGTTATCCGGGTGTGTTGCATCACCTTAAAGGGGTCATATGATGTTGCTAAAAATAACATTATTTGGTGTATTTAGTGTAATGCAATGTGTTTATGCGGTTTAAGGTTCAAAAAACACATTATTTTCAACATAATGTACATTATTGTTTCTCCTCTATGCCCCGCCTTTCTGAAACCCGTCGATGTTTACAAAGCTCATCGGTCTGAAAAGCGAGGTGTGCTCTGATTGGCCAGCTATCCATTGCGTTGTGATTGGCTGAATACCACAAGCATGAGACGGAAATGTTACCATACTGTGTTTCCATGTGTCCCGGCTCGACGAGACAAAACCAATAAAACCCTTTACAAATGAGGCATTTGTTGCATCCAGTGGGGACATAATTACTGATTATAATGACTTATACTGTGTTTTTACGCTTTGCGTTGCGTATTGCGCCGCGTAAACATAAAACCATGTCTGCATTTGTGATCGGAGAAATGACAAACAACAAGCGCTACTCTACACTGCTCAAAACTCGCATTTGAATCATCAGTGGCAAATTCTTTAAATATAAAAAACGTACTTACAGGCTGTGAGTCAGAAGCGCCAGACTGTCCTTGCAAAGTTGGAACTGCCATACTTTATAGAACCATTATGTCCTCTTTTGGAAGGCCAACCAAAGTAGTTTCGCTTTCACAACGAAACACAGTGCCTTCACGACATGGCAGCGGCGGCAGCAACAACAATACTACAGCGAGAATAAAAGTTACGCTTTCTTTCTTTGTGTGAACATTTGGGTGGCGTTATGCAAATCTTCCCACACAGTGACGTAGACATGTGGGGGCGTGTTTAAACGAGGCGTTTTAGGAGGGCGTGGACAAGTCTTAACTTTTATAAAGAATATCTCTTTGGATTTGAGACTTTAGTCTTTGCAACTTTAGGGATCTTCTTTATGCACTAAGAGCTTGTAACACTCCAAAGAGAAAGGAAAAATTTAAATCGCATCATATGACCCCTTTAAATGGTTTTGTTTTGCGATAATGACCATTTGACTACATTGTCTTACATATTGCATTGCTATTTATCCCCCTAAAAAAAAAAGACTGGTAATATTGGATTGATATATATTATTATATGTGAAGAAAGTTACTAGACAAAATATACATATGTGAAGCACACATCTATAACATTTATTAAATGCATGCAATGATGGATTTTTAAATGTTTTTTCTCTTTTATTTACAGAGCTACGCAAACTGAAATTGGCAGAATACCTTGCGGCAAAAGGAAGACTGAAAGCACCTAATCCAAAGTAGGTGGTCTTGAAGGGTCTTTCTGTCTGTAACATTTGTTCAATTTATACTTTTACCATAAAAAAACAAACATATTTTCAGTATTGCTACCATAGTGTGTTTATGTTCTGAAACAACTGTTGTTGTTTTTTACTCAAGACCATATCTCAAGGAGAAGCCTGTTACAAAGAAATATGCTGAAATTGATCAGAAGTCCAAAATTGTAAGTTAAATCATTTTTTTGAAATTTTGTACTATTCAATGTGTTGAAAGTGTACAAGGTTGAAATGATGTGTCTTTTTTTTCCTCTCTCTCTCAGACAGGTGATGGAAAGGAGAATTGTGGCATCAATGGGAAAAATATTAAAGAAGTAAAGAGAGTGAAGACATTGGCAGAGGTTGATAAAAACACATCCTCAAAAAAAGAACTTGGCATCAATTCACTAGCCAAAGCCCAAACACAATCTTCCAGTAAATTGCAGAATACTTGCCGGGAAGGCCTTCATGTTTTGAGGACACAGAGCAATAGAACAGCCTCTCTTCAAAATCCAAGGAAACCCCACAAAGATGAGAAAACATCCAGGTCATTCAATGCCACTAAGAGGACTAATTCACAAAGCCTTCAGAATGCCCAACCCAAAGCCCATCAAGCTCCGCCAGCTTCCCATGCTGCAAATAAAACACAAATGTCAAGAAACCACTACTGTGGCCCTTCACAGTCTGGATGTGGCATCTCAGCCCAAAGCCACACAGATCAGAGCCGTGCTAAGACAGATATTCAGTCAATGAGGCCTTTGGCTAAGAAATTAACAGAAACAAGCATCAAAACAACCTCAGTTGCCAATTTGAAGAGTCGAAGACCAATGAACACAACTGAGACAAACAGTGTTTCTAAAACCCAGGTAAAACCTGCACAGCAACCCAGAAGTCAAAGTGCTGTACCAAAGCTTGCTCTCAATTGCTCTGAGAACTGCAGTTGCGCGTGCAACTGCAGTTCTCAGAGCAATAAGCCCATAAACCAGAAATCAAATTCAGTGACAAACAGGTCAGATGTGAACCAGAGAAAAGATATTCCGTGCATTGTTTCGAAGGTTGATGCCATAAAAATTAAATCAAATAGCTCAGTCACAAACAGAGTAACAAGAACAAGTGCCTCTTCAACTAAACCTGCAAATAGAGAAGGATCAGTGATCATCAAAAATAAACAGTCTGCTGCTGTTAAACAAACTAATCTCACTGCTTCTACCAAACTACTCGGTCGAAGCACCAAGAGTTGTGTACTGCCGCAGACGACAACTGCATCCCGAGAGCTTCATCAGCCCACTAAGGGGTCCAGCCAGGCCAAGCCTGCGATGCAATTGCAGACTCCTAAATCCAGATTCTGTCCCAATACTCAAGGTGTCCGAACAGCCCCGATAGATGGAATGAAGAAGCCGACTGCAGCTCAGGAGGAGAGACTGTGAGTAGACGACTGTCTGAAGCAGGGTTTCTCAACTCTGGTCCTCAGACTCCAACCCTGATCAGTCTCACCTGTATGCAACTTTCTAGTATTCCTGAAGACCTTGATTGGCTTGTTTGGGTTGGAGGTAACCGTAAGGGACCGTGAACCTCAAGAGCCTTGAGAAACCCTGGTGGAAAGATTTGATGCTTTTGGAAACTACATGTTTTTTAGTGCTTTAAAGCTGTGGTTCTCAGCTGGTAAGATCTGGTT